CTCTAAAGTTAAATCAGAAGTGTCATTTATACACCCATAAACATACTGTTTAGTATTAGTACTGTGTCTATTCTATATCTATTGCGTGTGTGTATTATATATATGGATTATTTCACAGATTTACTATTGATACTCAACCACAGAAATTCTACTGATTTTGTTATGTATAAATGACACTTCTGATTTAACTTTAGAGGGATTTAAATAGTGCAACAGCATGGATTTTAGAAAGTTATTTAATTTACAATATTTGCTTCTCATTCCTGAAGGAATTGAGGGGCTAGCGTTCAGAAAGATGAGACGGGCCTCCCATTGCTACCTTTATTGAATAAGATGCATCTTACAAATGAAGAGGGCCTTGTTGAAAACCATTAAGAGCGATTGCAATTAAATATGTGATAAAGAAAAGGCTAATTTGTTTGGTTTGCAAATAGGAAGGATTAAAACATCAAAGAACCTCCTAAACAGAGGCAGTAAATTAGCAAAGGAGATCACCTGCAAATATTGGTGAATCATTAAAGATAATTATAGTAACTAACTGTTTCCCAAGATAATGTACAATAGACTTGGATCAGAAGGGAATTTATGACAGAAGCTGTTCACACTGTTTCTTTTCCCAAGGGCTGGTAGAAACCAGATTCTAATATTTTTTGTGTAGACGTTGCTGATTTCTGAATGTGAACTCTGCCTTCTTTTGCATTGTTTATTGTATCAATTAATTGCCTGCTACACAATTGTAAGATGTCCCATTCTTTCCTTGTCCTTGCACAACATGGTTGTTCCAGTCAGTGCTACTTTAGAGAAGTCCTTTAACCCATACCAGCACCTGGTCACAAATGTTCTGTCAGACAAAAAACAACTATTTTGACAGCCTCTAAGCGGCCGCAAAGGAGCCCTTCAACCCATCTGAGTGATGCCAAGCATGAAGCCAGGGGAAAACTGCCTAACTTCCATCACTATGAAGTTTGGGGTTGCACCTTTGACATTCAAAGGATGAAATACTCTAGCTTGAAACATTTGTTTTTAGTTTTCCCTGTTGAAATAACATGGATTTGTCACTAGCAATTTTGCTTTGGCTTCGTTGCTTGGATCTTTGTTTCTCAACCTCAGCACATTTAAAATAAGGTAAAGATAAAGGTTCCCCTTGCTCGCACATATAGGCTAGTTGTTCCCAACTCTAGGGTTTGATGCTCATCTCCGTTTCAAAGCCGAAGAGCCAGCACTGTCCAAAAATGTCTCTGTGGTCATGTGGCCAGCATGACTAAATGCCAAAAGCACATGGAACACTCTTACCTTCCCAACAAAGGTGGTTCCTATTTTTCTACTTGCATTTTTAGGTGCTTTCGAACTGCTA